AATTTCTGTCAACGTGGAATGGAGTCTTTCGACTGGAGCGTTGCTTGAAGACTGTTAGAAAGAAGTAATGTGTGTATCTATGTTGTATTGAGAACAGAAGTCTTTAAAAATCTTCCCAGAAAATTTGGCTCCTTGGTCATGTACTATTTTTTGGGGTATACCGAATGTATTCAAAATGTTTGTAAGAGCCTTTACAATATTTATACAATCCCTAGCTGGCACTGTATAACCACTAGCGAATCTAGAGAATTTGTCGATTATGGTTAAAATTGTCTTTCCGTTTATGGTATACATGTCGATATGGACAATGGATAATGGTAGTTCCGGTGTTTCGGTCACCTGGAATTTGTTTTTCTGGGGCTATCTGTTGTATTTTAGGGACTGGCAAATGTCACAGTCATTTATAATTTTGGCAATTTTCTGTTTCATATATGGGAAGTACGCTTGTCGTTTAAGTTGGTTATGTGCTTCATCTATACCTCTGTGGTTTGTGTGGGAGTGATATTCTTTGATAAGAGTGTCTTGCTCCTCTGTCGTAGTTAAATCTTTTAGTATTTAGAATTCGCAAAATATTTTGTATATGTTTGATTGAAAATGTGGAATATGTCGTTATTCGTCATGATAGCGTAGGTCTTACGCGGGGTGATTTCATCTTTAAAAATTTTGACCATAATTTCTTCTGTAAATTCTTTTTCATTAACCATGTCAAGGGTCGGTGGTCCGTCTTGATTTTGAATTTATTGAATCTGAAGCCAGAAGCCAAAGTTATTGAGAATTAATGTGTGAAATGAATGAATTATTTAAATTTATTGTATTTTTAGTTATTTTTAAAGCGTCTTTAAATCGAGAATAAGTTCGTTATTAAATATAACCATGAGAAGGCTAGTTCTCAATGGCATCGAAAAGTTTTGAGTAAAAGAAAGGGCTTGTCGAATATTCTTTTTCAGCGAATCTTCTCCTTCTTTGATCTTCTTCGTTGAAATCATTCTGAGTGAGTTATATAATTAAATAATATTGTGCCCGTTCGTTGTGTCTTTCGACAAAACGAATGAGAATAGTGATCTCAACCAAATGCTTTCCCTAATTGAAATTAAAAAAAAAAATTTTCGAATATTATAGTGAAAGGTTTTTATGGCAGGATCGCCATGAAATGTTTATATGGCAGGATCGCCATGAAATATAAAACAAACTTGTTGTAGTTGGTTTTATTCTTTATTTCAAGGAGCAGCAATTGTGCCGCTCCCAGGCTTGAATTGATTGTGTTCTTACAATATTCTTTTAAGTCTAATTAAGGCTAAGTCTCGTTGCTGCGCTGCTCGCAGGCGGCGGCAGAGGGACGGCTATCTATGTACTTATGTATATATGCCCTCTTATGTGAGGAGCGCGAGGGGTATGCACATGCGGTCCGTTCATGCCGACGCTAGCACTTTCTGCGAGTGGCCTAAGCCACAGCGATCGGTTCATATTTCGGCCACCATGAATTATGTAAACACTGCAACAGAGTGTTACAGTGCGTACCCTTTAAGAACTGGGTACTCCTTTTGAAAAATAACGTAATATTATGAAGTTATTTTAATAATAATATTTAGTTAGTAAAAATGTGTGTGCGAACTATGCATGGTCTCTTATTTCCGTTACTTTATACGGACCTATGTATTTAGGATCTAACTTATGACCTGTCTCGTTTTTTAGGAAAACTTGATCAACTACTGATATATCTATATCTCTTACTTTCTGATCATATAGTAGTTTATTTCTATTCTTATTGTCTTCTAATAAAACTCTAGTTCTTTTATATACTACCTCTAATCTATATTTACTCTCCTTAGCATAGTCATCTAAATTATATATTGTTTCTACGCTATCTATGCTATTAAAGTGTTTCGGTAAATTACTTGTTTTACCAAATACTAGCTTATATTGACAATAAGTATGTGCCATAGAGGGGGTCGTGTTGAAACAAAAGACAAAATATTGAAGCCATACGTCCCAATCAGTTTTATCAACCGATATGTAAGATCGTATATACTCATTAAAAGTTCTATGACTTCTTTCTATTGTTCCAACTGTCTGGTGGTGGTGTGCTGTAGATGTTATGTTCTCAATTTTCAAATATTTGCACAAGTCATTTATAATTGAATTTTTGTATTCTGTTCCCATGTCCGTAATGAACGTCTTCATTGGACCGTACTTCAGAATAAATGATTCGAAAATTGCTTTAGCGACGGTATTTGCGTTTTTATTTGCAACTGGTATAGCAACTAGATATTTTGTTAAATCACATATTAACGTGACCACATATTCATTGCCATTTTCTGATTTTGGTAGTGGACCAACAGTGTCCACTATTACTCTGTCGAAAGCGTTTAGTGGTGTATCGGTTATTGTTAAAGGAGTCTTTGTACGCGATGTAATTTTTGACTTCTGACATTTATGACATTTTCTTACGTACTCAGTTATATCTTTAGACATACCTTTCCAGTAATAGTGTCTTCTTACTTTGGCCAAAGTTTTTGATAGACAGTGTAACCTCCTTGAATTGGATCATCATGAAATTTAGACAGAATAGCTTCTTTGTCTTTTAGACTTTTTATTTGGGACACCGAGTTGAGTAGCGCTACTCTTAATGTTTTCAATATTTTATTGCCCATTAATTTGAAGTTATCTATTGAAGTATATTCAAAGATATTTTCCCACGGTGCCACTTTGAGTTGGTTGATTTTATTTATACCGGCTTGCATTTCAAGGCTTAGGAAAAATTGATCTAAATCAATAACTCCATTAGTATATAAATCTCTAACATCATATCTTGCAGTAATTTTTCTGCCTTGTTTAAATAAACATAAGATGTTTTTTATCTGCAAGGTCACTACTTTACGTACTTCATCATTGTTTATGACGTCGTATACGCTGGGCTTAGAAGCTTTATTAAAGATTGCATAGGCAATTCTTGTTCTTGATTTTCCGCGCGGATTTTCTGTCTATTTTAATATCTTGTAGAGACTTTATTGATATTTCCAGTTATATTTTGTAGATCTTTGATGGTTATTCTATAACGCATCAGCTACAAAGTTATCTTTTCCCTTCAGATATTCTACAGTGAAATTATATTCTTCCAGCTCAAGTCGCATGCGCGTTAGCTTAGAGCTTGGATTAATCATTGAAAACAGGTAAGTTTATGATCAGTCTTGACAGTGAAATATCTACCATAAACATATGGTCTGAAATAAGTTATTGCCCAATGAATTGCTGTTAATTCTTGTTCTTTTGTTCTTTTATTACTTTCGCCCTTAGTAAACGATCTTGATGCATAAGCAACTGGAAGTTGAAGTCCATCATGGTTTTCAGTTAAAACCGCTCCACATGCTTGCTTACTTGCATCCGTTATTATGCAAAACTCTTTGCCGAAATCTGGGTATTGTAATAAATTCGGATTTATTAATGCCGATTTAAGATGTTCGAAGACATTCTGGCAATCAATTGTCCATTCGAATTTAACATCTTTTTTACAAAATCTTGTTATGTGACGAGAATATTCGGCAAAATTTTTTATGAAACGTCTATAATAATTGCAAAATGCAACGAATCTTCTAGCGCTGTTCGCATCATGAGGGACTGCGTAATTCTTGATGACGTCGTATTTTTTGTCATCTGGCAAGATTCCTTTATCAGTGCATTTATGTCCCAGAAAAGTGACTTCATGCATGAAAAATGAGCATTTTTCAGGATATAACTTAAGTTTTTAAGCATATGTTTTTCGGAACAACATATAACTATTAAGTCATCCATATAAAGGAATGCCTGTGATGGTTCTAATCCAGAGAGTGCAATAGTCATCATCCTCTGAAATGAATTAGGCGCTATTTTTAAACCGAAAGGTAATCGTGTGAAACGATACGAGCCATTGCTCGTTGAAAATGACGTTTTATCTCGTGAACTTTTTTCAAGTTCAATTTGATGAAAGCCAGACATTAAGTCCAGACATGAGAAATATTTCGCTCTTCCTAGTTGATCCAAAATAACATCAATTCTAGGTAGCGGCAATTTATCCGACAACAGTTTTTATTAATCTGACGATAGTCAATTGCTAATCGCCATTTTTTCGTATCAGGTCCGGGGAGTGATTTCTTCGGAACTAATAACAGTGGGCTATTATAGGCTGATACAGACGGTTCTACTATTTTATTGTCTATTAGTTTTTGTACCTGTATGTTAATATCATCCTTTTGACTATGTGGACTTCTATAATTTTTTATGTAAACCGGTTCATCATCCTTTAACCTTAGAAATTGTTTGTAGTTATTGATTCGGTTTCGAGTCCGAATATATCACTGTACTGTGTGCATAAATCAGTTAATTTTTGCTTGAACTGAGGTGGAAAATTTTTGGATAATTGAGATAAGACAGTTTCTTCTCTATTTTCTGGATTGTTTTGAACTATGTCATAGTTCGAAAGTGGTTCATATTATAAGCTGTGAATATTTACGATTTGGTCAGTACTGGTTGTATTCAGTAATCGGACAAATGCATTTTTGGTTGTTGCGACTGTGTTCGCAACATAAATGCCACGTTGAATTTCCTGATAAGTCATTAGTATGCTTTCTTCATCTGATGATAGATAAATCTCTCGAACCACTTGAGATCTGGCTGATAGAATTATGGAATTATTACCAGAACTGTATGTTATAGGAACATATATTGGAAAATTAAAATTATTTGGTCTTAGGATAAACCAATCTTCATTATGATTGAAGTCTAGTTGACAATTGAATTTCTTTATGAAATCAATGCCTATTATTCCATCACATGGTATTGCGAAATGCAAATCTACTATATGAAAATCGTGTAAATTATATATTTATCTGTCTGTATCTCGAGGGAAGTTAAGCCTTTTGATTGAATTAGCTCTTGGCCTATGCTCTGAATGTTTATTTTATTATCTTTCTGAATATCACGAAGGATATCAGAATTTTCTTTTAAAATTAAATTAAGAATACAAGTTTTCTGTTGGTTTCTGTATTTGTAAAGTTTACAAATATATTAAGACTAAGATTGATGGTGTGAACATTGTGGTTTACTGTTCAGTATCTGAAGGGTGAGAGTTTCCCGAATTATTCTGGGCAATTCTCACAGAATTGTTTGAATTATTGTTATTGTGGCCTCGATTCGAGTTGCCACGGCTTCTTGAGTTTCCTCTATATTGGCCTCGTCCATTACTATTATAGTTGGAACTTTTGTAGTTGTTGTAATTGTTACGACTACTACAGTTTCCTCTGAAGTTTCCACGTCCGCGATTTCCACCACGCTGTGAATAATTTTTGAAATAAAGGACAGTATTAGATTGTCCAGTTTCTTCCGTGCAACTGTTGACGAACTTGGATATGGCATCATTCATTGTGTTGAAGGTGCCAGCCTGCATGGTAAGTTTTACCTTTTCAATTGCGCAGTTCTTAGTCATTGCCTTGACGGCATGCTGAGTGGTATAATTCCTTGCCAATTCTAGTGATATTCCGTCTGATATGTATGCTCCTTCTAAGGCTTTCGTCATCTGCTCAACCTCTAGTGTGTATTAGTTTGCAGTTTCTTTTCGTTGCCGTAGGTTCATCAGTTTTGCTGACAATACATCTACAGTTTCGCCTTTGACGTTGCCTTTTAGTCTAGAAATCACTTCGGAAATCGTTGTTTCGTTTCCTATTAGATTTCTAGCGGCACCCTTTAGTTTTGTTTTTATTATGGAGGCTGCGAGTTGTTCGTGCTCGCCCTTCATTGCCTCTACAATTTCTAACGCATCCACAAAACTTGTTAGATTTTCCGCTTTACCATCGAAAACTGGTATCAGCTTGGAAGCTGCATTTATGAAATCAATATTGGATTGTGCCATTGTGGTAAGGTTGCTTGTCTCGCTAGGAGTATCAGAATCTGTGTAACTATCTCTATCTCTGTGTATACCCCTGGAATAGTAAGATTATTTAAATCTTCCTCTTCTATTTTGGGGTATAACTCTTCTAATTATACCCGTTACTCGTAGAGTAAAAGGGTATACTAGATTCGTTGAAAAGTATGTAACAGATAGAAGGAAGCTTTTGCGACCCTATAAAGTATATATATTCTTGATCAGGATCAATAGCGAAGTCGATTGAGCCATGTCCGTCTGTCCGTCCGTCCGTCCGTCCGTCCGTCCGTCCGTATGAACGCTGAGATCTCAGGAACTATAGCAGATACAAATCTGAGATTAAGCATGAAGATTCTTGAGGTCCCGGGACAGCGCAAGTTTATTACAGCATCCTGCCACGCCCACTCTAACGCCCACAAATCGCAAAAAACTAAAATTGCTGAAATCTCAGGAACTATTGCAGATAGAAAGTTGAAATTCAGAAAGTATAATCTTTAGATGACAGCGCATCTTATAGTGCTACTACTATCCGGCCACACCCACCCATACGCCCACAAGGCTCAAAAGACGGTTTTCGGATTTTCTAGAAAAGCTGATATCCCGGTAACTATAAGAGATAGAAAGTTCGGATCAAGCATGTATGTTTCTATGATGCTCCCAATGCGAATTGTTTTTTTCCGATCACGCCACGCCCACTCTAACGCCCACAAAACCAGAAAAACCAAAAATGCAAAAATCAAATTTTGCTTAAGACCACGTATTTAGGAGATGCCTCTGCAACTTGCCACGAAGTTGCATCCGGCCACGCCCACTCTTACGCCCACAAACCGCGGAAAACTGTGGAGTCTATAATATTATTATGAATGCCTTCGTTTGACCTTGTGTAACTTATTTCTGTTAATATCTATCGATTTACAAAAGATTTTTCAAATCGGAACATTATTTCGCTATTTATGAAGAAATTAAGGTTATAAGGCTCCACATGGGCAGTGACGTCACTATAAGCATACTCAATATACTTCCTCTGACAATAGGTGGCGCCTTGTGAATTTCCACTAGCAAAATTAATATTTTAAAATTGTGTAAAACAGTAACGGGTATCTTATAGTCGCGGCACTCGACTATAGCGTTCCCTCTTGTTTTAATTCGTTTGTTTCAGCTGATTCTGGGTCAGGTGCAGTGTCTTCTGCTATAGAAGTGTTTATAACATTCTGTATTACTATTTCTAAACTGAATTTTTGTTTAACCGATATTAAATTAGATCGTAGTCGTATCAGAAGTTTAGATACCTGAGATAAATTATCTTGATTCAATCTCTCCCTGTGACCATGTATTAGCATTCGCGCTTTATTAAAGTTCTCTACTAATATCTCAACATGTTTTCTAACTGTGTTCTTCTGGATTGGTCTAATCTGAGTTAGTGACTTATACGATTTGTCAAAAAATTTTTTTTTCCAATCCATTATATCATGGGCATTGTGCTTAGTTTAGCCATTTTTTTTTTAAATTATATTTGTATAAAATTATTTTTATTTCATTATACCCGTTACTCGTAGAGTAAAAGGGTATACTAGATTCGTTAAAAAGTATGTAACAGATAGAAGGAAGCTTTTGCGACCCTATAAAGTATATATATTCTTGATCAGGATCAATAGCGAAGTCGATTGAGCCATGTCCGTCTGTCCGTCCGTCCGTCCGTCCGTCCGTCCGTCCGTCCGTCCGTCCGTCCGTCCGTATGAACGCTGAGATCTCAGGAACTATAGCAGATACAACGTTGAGAGATTCTTGAGATCCCGGGACAGCGCAAGTTTATTACAGCATCCTGCCACGCCCACTCTAACGCCCACAAATCGCAAAAAACTAAAATTGCTGAAATCTCAGGAACTATTGCAGTTAGAAAGTTGAAATTCAGAAAGTATAATCTTTAGATGGCAACGCATCTTATAGTGGTACTAATATCCGGCCACACCCACCCATACGCTCACAAGGCTCAAAAGACGGTTTTCGGATTTTCTAGAAAAGCTGATATCTCGGTAACTATAAGAGATAAAAAGTTCGGATTAAGCATGTAGGTTTCTATGATGCTCCCAATTCGAATTGTTTTTTCCGATCAAGCCACGCCCACTCTAACGCCCACAAAACCCGAAAAACCAAAAATGCAAAAATCTCGAAAAGTATAAGATCTACACAATTTTGCTTAGGAACTCGTATTAAGGAGATGCCTCTGCAACTTGCCACGAAGTTGCACCCAGCCACGCCCACTCTAACGCCCACAAACCGCGGAAAACTGTGGCGTCTATAATATTATTATGAATGCCTTCGTTTGACCTTGTGTAACTTATTTCTGTTAATATCTATCGATTTACCAAAGATTTTTCAAAGCAGAACATTATTTCGCTGTTTATAAAGAAATTAAGTTATAAGGCCTCACATAGGCAGTGACGTCACTATAAGCATACTCAACATACTTCCTCTGACAATAGGTGGCGCATTGTGAATTTCCACTAGCAAAATAATATTTTAAAATTTTGTAAAACAGTAACGGGTATCTTATAGTCGCGACACCCGACTATAGCGTTTCCTCTTGTTTTTATACCCGTTACTCGTAGAGTAAGAGGGTATACTAGATTCGTTGAAAAGTATGTAACAGATAGAAGGAAGCTTTTGCGACCCTATAAAGTATATATATTCTTGATCAGGATCAATAGCGAAGTCGATTGAGCCATGTCCGTCTGTCCGTCCGTCCGTCCGTCCGTCCGTCCGTCCGTCCGTCCGTCCGTCCGTCCGTCCGTCCGTCCGTATGAACGCTGAGATCTCAGGAACTATAGCAGATACAAAGTTGAGATTAAGCATGAAGATTCTTGAGGTCCCGGGACAGCGCAAGTTTATTACAGCATCCTGCCACGCCCACTCTAACGCCCACAAATCGCAAAAAACTAAAATTACTGAAATCATAGGAACTATTGCAGTTAGAAAGTTGAAATTCAGAAAGTATAATCTTTAGATGACAGCGCATCTTATAGTAGTACTACTATCCGGCCTCACCCACCCATACGCCCACAAGGCTCAAAAGACGGTTTTCGGATTTTCTAGAAAAGCTGATATCTCGGTAACTATTCGTAATAGAATGTTCGGATTAAGCATGTAGGTTTCTATGATGCTCCCAATGCGAATTGTTTTTTTCCGATCAAGCCACGCCCACTCTAACGCCCACAAAATCCGAAAAACCAAAAATGCAAAAATCTCAAAACTATAAGAGCTACACAATTTTGCTTAGAAACACATATTTAGTAGATGCCTCTGCAACTTGCCACGAAGTTGCATTAGGCCACGCCCACTCTAACGCCTACAAACCGCGGAAAACTGTGGCGTCTATAATATTATTATGAATGCCTTTGTTTGACCTTGTATAACTTATTTCTGTTAATATCTATCGATTTGCCAAAGGTTTTTCAAATCGGAACATTATTGCGCTATTTATGAAGAAATTAAGGTTATAAGGCCTCACATGGGAAGTGACGTCACTATAAGCATACTCAACATACTTCCTCTGACAATAGGTGGCGCATTGTGAATTTCCACTAGCAAAATAATATTTTAAAATTTTGTAAAACAGTAACGGGTATCTTATAGTCGCGGCACCCGACTATAGCGTTTCCTCTTGTTTTTATTTATTACATTGCATATTATATATTGTATGTTTAAACAATGTTGCTTATATTTTATCCAGGTCATTAGCCCGGCTCATATATCTTTTCTTTAAACATCTATTGTGCAGCTTATATATTTTATAAAAGAAATTTGCGCACATTATGACAACAATGATTATTAAAATACATGTACCCAATATAAATCAATATTATTCGATTCTACTTTGTTTATGACATTGGCAGCGGAATCCACTGTTTTTATATCCAAAGTCATTTTTGTAGGTGGTATATATACCTTTATGTTATAAGTTGGAATATAATTATTATTGTTTTCTATTGAGGATTTGCTTTTTGCATTACCTCTCATCTATCTTTGCAGGTTTCTACCTATTGTTTTGCATAGCTTTACAGGTTACACGACTAATTGGGCAGAGATAGTTCCGCTCAATTTTACAATTTATATTATGTTATATAAAAAAAATATGCATCGCAGTGCACTCAAAAAAATATGGAACGCAGTGCATGGGTTAATCCTGCGTCCTCTGCTGCGATGTTTCTTCTGATGCTCTTTCCGGTCCGCGTCAGCTGGTCGTCCCCGGCTAGGCTGACGCTCCCTCGAAGGCGCAAGTGGCGGTCGTGCCTCCCACGCTTTGTATCTGCTGCTTGTCCTGGGCCTATGGGCACAGGCCCATAGTGTTACAGTGCTTACGCTTTAAGAACTCGGTACAGTGGGTATTCAATATTAGTGCATACTACAATAGAGCTACATTATTCTGTAAACAGTAATTACAATTAACTAAAAGAAAATTGAATCTATCTGTTTTGAGCGGGGCATTAATTTATGCCAATTGTTTCTAAATATTTTGCTATTTAAAATTGCACGAAAAAAATGCGGTGCCGTGAACGGTGAAAAGAAAAGGCCGAGAGATTTATTTTCAATGTTTATTTTTAGCAGTGCTGCGACTGTTTTTCTACAGCGATACAGGAACGAAT